TGGTGTTTTGTTTCTGTTCTCTCACCTTCTCGGAAAGCATGACTGCAGACGACCATCGTCGAAGGCCTGCATAATGTAGAACAGTGGCTTCAGAGTATTGACAAAGGCTGCTAAATGGTAGCAATCATTAATTTTTGGGTTTTCGGGTCGGGTACAGTCCCCTAAATTTAGGAGACTCCTCGGCAGCTGCAAGCTATTGCTTGACCCAGTACGTAGATTATTGTGCACATGGAGAGAAGATAACGAGCAACTCGCCTAAAGGGCCTTGGTAATGTGACAATGTGTCAAGTATGCTGACTTCCAACTTTTTCAACGTCAACTCAGACTTTAAAAGCGACTGCAAATACAAGAGAAGAAAGAGTACACAGAACTCGGGCAGCGCTTCATCTAGAACTTTCACATTTCTATGTTCTTGCATCAGCTTGTAGCGAAGACAGCAGATTCCGAGTCGTCGGCTGCTGGAGACCTGTACATCTCAATCGTCAGACTATGTACACCAATCGTCTTCATGTGGAATTTTGCTGTCAATTGTGAATTCGAACGAATTTTGCTCACAAATCGTAGCAGACGCATAGGAGTAGTTGAGAGATTCAGGAATGCTGACTCACTTCATAACCTCTGAGCACGTCGAAAATTGAAGTTCAGCAAATTCTCTACGTTACCTCGACACTAAACGAATGTCCTGTCACAAATTTTGATCAGAGCAAATCGTTTTTTCGTTCAATACTAGATCAAGATATCATACCGCATGATACATACAAGTAACAACAGGTACAGTTCTCGGAAGCCATGCGCTGACATCATGAGTGGAGTTGATGTCAGCTCCACTCTGTTAGTATTTTGGATGAGGCAAGTGCAGCCGAAGCAAATGTATTGTACTGATATTCTGTGTATTTACACAGAATATCAGTGATTATGAGGATAACAGTATCAAACGTGCCTTCAGTCTGCAGAGAGTGTCATACATATCTCACTTCGAGCGTACCAATACCGGTGATAATGTTCTCCCCTGCAATCTTCTGAATCAACAGATGATGCGCTTCAAGAACTTGCTACCTGTCGGGACAGTTCAGTACGTCTAGACCTGCAGGCTCAGCAGGAGCCGCAGGTCTTCTGCCTTTCAGGGTTGAAAAGCCCCTATGCTCCCAATGCCACTATCGATGGTCTGATCAGCCGAGCGTAGCCATGCTGCCAGACCAACTGCACTAACTCTTACACATTACCGATGATAGCAGGCGAGAACACTGTTCTGACCATCTTCGGAGCCAAGGGGTTCTGCATCGACTGCAACTATTGGGGCAATTCTTTCAGATCTATAATTACACAGCAGCTTTCGAGGGCACCGTCGAAGATGGTCCTGGACTTTTCCTGACTGGTGAAAACGACCGACCCTTGCATGCAAGAACAAAACCTTCTAGAAGCCTTCATTCAAAAACAGAGGTTGAGTTTTCATACAAGTCTTACAGACTTGTGAGTGAGGAATGATTTTTCGGTGCTAGGGATAAGGCCAACAACTTGCAGTTATAAAATTGATATAGTGAAAGCAATTGTTATCTCCGAAGGGTTTACACCTTTCTTGGTATAAATTATTATGCTTGCACGTGCTAGATGGAAGCAGACAGAGATCCAGAACAATCCCGAGTGCAGGGCACTATTTTGTGGTCTCTCTCCTTTCCTTTCTTTACTGTGAAGACGAAGTTAGCAAAATATTTAGGAGTGTAGAGCATGGATCGAGCTAGTAGCAATTGGTCAATTCTCCTTGTGAGTCTGATGCAGAAGAGTAATGTAGATTGAACAGGCTTTCTTGATCATTCATCAAATCTTGCTACGAATTGAAAATTCCGTCTTGTGCAGCAAATAAATTGATAGATCTCGCTTCACATCGTTCGACTGATGTTTTCGATACTGGAAAAATCACATTCATAATCCTGCACTAACTATCGGCTTCCCAGGAAATCAAAACAGAGTGACAGTGTCTTATAATGAAAGCGGACGCGTTATATTATCAATGGTGACCTGATTGTTTCAAGAGAACAATTTCTTGTTTGTTGGGCAGTGTTTTCTTGGCCTAATCAATAGCCACGTCTTCTTCTATTCCCCTTGTAATGTTCACTGCAATTTCGTACTCCTTCATTAGTTTCCTTCTAAAACAATTTGGAATCTAAGTTGGATGATACTCAGTTCATATCTTTTTTTCAGACCTAAGTAACTCCTCTGTCAAACCATACAGCTTACTTAAAATGCAACATTCGCGCACAAACTGGATAAGAAAAGTCAAAAATCATCTCGACTTTTCTGTTCCTGCTGGCCGCCAGCGACATAGATGTGCGTATAATATATATACTTCGTCCTTAAAGCTTGGAATTTGCTCTAGGCTCAAATATTCTTGCCAACTGATTCCTATATACTTCGCATGACAGTAGAGTTCAAGGACCACATGATACGCACTTCTCAGCACTTGCAGAACAGCTACAAAAGTTGGTGGGCATCTTCTGAAAGTCCAAATCCGGTGCAAGCGAATTAAAAAGCCTGGACAGTTTTGACACTCGACAGGACAATGCTCTTTGGAATCATAGAAGTCAACAATTCCCTTTTAAGATCTTGATGAAGGATGCATTCTGATAAAGAATAATTCATGGATGTTCTTACGCTCGGAACTCCATCATGTCTGTTCTTGTCCGGAACTCTGCTTTTCATCTAACTACGAGCATGGACATATTCTTGGATGCGGGCTCAGTCCTACACTTGTTGGAGACTAAGTTTATATCGAGTTCTTCCAGGATTCTATCGGCTATCAACAATCGTATCTCGTAATTTAATATTTGAAATCGGAAAACATGGCCTCCTTCGATCTACTGTCGGCCTCTGCACGGGTCAAACAAATGTGTTCCACTTCTCATGGGTTCGCGCTGATCGTCATGAGTTGGGTTATACAACTGCAGGATGTCCACGCCTTTCCTCAAGTCCTCCACTTTTTCAAGTGAACAGCGACTTCAGTGTTTCACATTTGAAAAGGACAGGAGTATCTTCTATCAGCCTAATCTAATGATCCCAACGCAGGATATTGGAAGCAGAGAGTTAGGGACTGTTATAGTTAGGGACAAGGAGTTCTGACTGTGGCAGCTGTAGTTGCTGCTGCGCATTTGGATGTGTAAGTTTCAAAGGAACTATCAAATTACTCTCATTGTCAAGAGTGATTCTAAGAATGATTCTTCAGCCTTCAATGCCCAAAAGTACTGCCGTAAGAATACTGCACGTATCTCGTGGCTATGTTAATTTCTTTTTTCGGCCAGGTGACTGCTGCACTTCAACCTAACCACCTCAATTCCTGGAATTAATGTGAATTTGTTTATGGAATGCGGAGGGAGAACAGAGAATATGGTAAATGTATAGATGCTCATAATGACGCCACCACTCACAACTTCTGTTTATCGTTCTTGGAATGCAAGAATGATGAAACTGTAATGCGTATTATGTGTACACAGCTGCATTGATATGATCAGCTTACATCTGCACTAATATCAAATTCTTCATCTACCGTTCTTGTCCGGTTCTTCGGCCATTTATGTTGATGCGCGACGTATTTCTTCTTCTTGTTGATTCACTGTTTGCAACGTCGATCACATACATATGATCCAATATCTGCCGACAGACAGAACAATTGGGCTTTGAAACACCTCGGCGTCCGTAAACTTAAATCAGGAAAGCTAACCAACCAGCAGCCAACGCATCGAAGAACAGAGGGGAGCCAGAATTCAAAGAGGAAGCGCCACTCTCTCCTGATGCAGGTGAGTCTGCAGAAAGCGGGGTGGTGGTAGAAGTAGCTGGTTGAGGCGGAGTAGGAGTCGAGGACCACTGGCTTGAGGAGTAATTGTGGGAGAGGCAGTCGAATGATCGTAGGGGAGGAAGGAGAACCGGCTGGAGAATCTGCAGCAATCACTTGCACGCTCAACTTCATATTGGGTATCAACTGAGCAGATGTAGAAATGACTGCCAGCAGCAGTCAGTATCACTATCGAGCTTAAAGCCGTCCATGTTTGAATGAGGCTCGTCTTCGCGCAGCTTGCAAGATCGGCCTCGCTCACTTCGTAAACATCATGATCACCGGTAATATATGGGAACACAGCAAACATGACCACATTTAACATGAGAATATAGCAATTTGTGACATCAAACTGTCTTTACGAAGGGCATGAAAAATTACAGAGGAGCAGAGCCCAACATTGGGTGCCCATGCCCAGAGGTTGTGGGTGGGTTTTGTGTGACACTAATTTTCCATGGGTGGGCACAAGTAATGCTAAGGGCAGTGTTTGTCAAGATCCAACCAAGAATTTGTGTAATTTGAGTAGCATGAGTGGGCATAGGTCGATGCTGATGGTCATGGTCTGGTCTGGGTGCAGATTTGAAGTAAAATGTTGGCCTCTGCAGAGGAGTGGAGTATCTGTGGAGACTAGAAGTTTTCAACAGAGAGCCTTTCATCTTTATGTTGTCAAGTTTTAAGTTTATTAGCTCGAGATTGAGACTATTAGCAAGCTGATGAGCAACTCTGAAGGTATAGGTGTTGGCCCAGTCATTGTAAAATATTGAAAGAACTGTCCATCACGTAGCATCTCCAACTGTGTACGCTACAGCACTCGCACATTGCAACCACCCGGCCAGAAAAAGAAATGTGATTACCGTCCTTGGGACACTGCAATTTTCATCCGCCTCTTACAACTGGAAACTGACGATGATCAATGCGATTTCAAACCTCAGTCTTTGTGCTGTGCAAAAAGTTTTGATGGATCTGCACTTCCGATCGCGTCCGAGTTCAAGCCTATTTGTTATGTGTCTGTATGTACGTCAAATCGAACGTCATATTGGTAAACGTCTTGATACCATATTGAACCAGAAACAAATCAACGTCCAGGGCATTTAATTAATGCAGCTGATGAAGATTCTAAACACTTAGAAGATTCAAAAAATGCTACTATTCGTTTTGAAAAACAGAGAGCTATTGAAGTATAATATTTCATTTTATTCCGAGTACCAAGCACTACGGTTTCATAGTACTCGGACTCTGGCTAGAAAATTTTTATTGATGATGATTGTTGATCTCAACATGATGACAATCGATAAGGATTTGACGCTTTCATCACGTGCTCTTAATGGTCAAGACAGTTTCATATGTTTCAAACGGCCACTGTGTTGTTGTATTCTAGTGTGTTTACATAAAGGAATAGATTAAAAACGACTCTTTGCGTAATCCAACAATGTCCACAACCCCATCTTCCATGTCAAGGTTGATGTGAGGAGCAAGACAGTAAACAATGATGAACGTAAAATACATATCATGAGTTACTTTCTCACCTCTTTATCTCCGAAAAAGTCAAAATCGTGCACTGAATACATCTACACGCCAGAACCAGCTGACATCAGTTCCTACATTCGCAGCCGTTGTTCGGACATCATGAACACGACTCTCGGACAGCTTCCAAATTCGACGGAGGGTTGGACTATAAAGACTGCATGGCCGCGTACAGGTACGACAACTGCATCTACGACGCGTTCTTTCTGGACTTTAGTCCAGAAAAGAAAACAAAGCTTTATCTTGGGAATAAAGCACTTTTGCTCATTCTTCGCCCCCAATGCTTGCCGGAAAGCGGCATCTACGGAAAGATTTGTATATTCCAGACTTATCTAGTCAGACGATTGTTTCCTCATTATATTGTCCGTGCTCAGACTTGTCCAAACGGCTTCTGATATCTGCAATGCATGTTTTCTCCTGGTTCAACGTGCAAACGCTCACAGAACTTTTTATACTTCTCTACACGTGAATTAGCGTCAGCTGACTCTTTGTTACATTCAGTTCCATTGATGATGTTGATCGTCAATCCGAAACCTGGCAGCCTGTTGGCCTCGATGTCCGTAGATTCTGGAGTCCAGTTTCCAGTCATGACAGAATGGCAGGATGGCTTGTTCCACTGGCGCGTACACCAGAACCAGAGCGCTGATTTGAACGCAATTACGGGATCTTGTGATAGCTTTTCAGGACAGGACAAAAGGCTGTCATCACCTATACCTTCCCCGCACATTTTGTAGTTGTAGTTCCTGGTCACCAACAAAAAGGTCTGAAACCCATCAGAGCCAGCTACATTTCGTCATCAATGCATGCGGCAAGCTAGTTCTTCAAATCATTAAACTCTGATTTGCACGTGCATTTCACAGCAGGCCATATTTGCATATTTCCTAGACAATTTGACATGCTAGATTCATCCAATAAATCTCAAACAATGGGATTTGGTACAACTTTACCAGCACAGCTGCAATGGCCCTCGACCATGATAACTTTTTCCTGGATGACAAGGAAAATCTTTACTGGGTAAACAGTGTGTGTCTTGCTGGTCACTGCTTTCCTTGTATAGCAGTCCTGTGTCGCCCAAATCAAGGTGTGTCCAAATGAAACTGGTCAGCAGAAGTCGAGGATATTTCTGATGTCTGTTCATCAAAGGGACTTGTGACTAGTTTCAATATCTCTTCAGTTACAAAAATATCCGAACATGGATAACATTTTTCCATATGATGGAACTGCAATAAGTTCCTAAGGAAACTGAAAACCAGCCCAATCCAATGCATCACTTTTCTCTCTTACCACTAGTTCCGTGGTCGAAATGGGCAAGAAGAGCTGCGATCTCCCTTCTCTGCTCGTCCACAGATCCGTCGACAGCAAATCCCTTTGGGATAAATGTCATAACAGCCTCCGTGAAGGATTCGTATGTGAAGAAAGGAATTCTGTTAGGAAATAGGTCAATGAACACCTTCCGGGGGAGAAGTGCCTTCCAAATTTTTTCATCTGCTGTCGGATTAAAATCAGGTATGGAGTTCGGACTAGCTGATTTATCACTCTTAAGGATAGCAGCAAGGAAATCTTCGACGCTTTGATATACAGCGTCTCCCTCTGACTGGTGTTTGCAGACATTAAAATGGTCACCATTTCCAAACCAGAACGAATCACAGTCGAATCTAGACGTTCCCTCTGAAACATAGGTTCCTGATCTTTGTGTTTGACCAGGCTGCATCACAATAGAGCGAGTCTTTAGATTTTTAGCTTACTGCATAAGAGCAGATGGTTTAGCAGACTCTAGGATCATAAACGAGTAAGTATTGACATCACCAGCAAAACAATAGAAAAAGGGGTTGAAATCTTTGAATCAAGCACATCGAAATCATCCCTAGCTTTCAAGTCTCCCCATCAAGTCCATATATCAATCTGCTGTCAGAGAAGCTGCCTTTCCAGTTCCTCTAAGAAAATAAAAGAGTTGAAAAAAAACTGCAAACTTTTGCAACCCGATACATCTCATACCAATCAATAGCTCATCTACCACCAAAGAGTGTGAACGAGAGAAAAAATCACCGTTCTTGATATTGTTTCATCTGACTCGCAGATCGTCAGAACCTGCCACAGCTCCTCCGAATCTCGATGTTTCTGCATACGTCGTCGAAGACGGCTGAACGCACCATTGAGTCGACTAAGCTCCGGATCGTGTATTTTCATGCAGTTCGTCAGTGGATTACTTTGACCAGGCTCAAATTGATACAAATTCCATTTGACTCCCGAGTTGAAAGGAGAGTAGAACACAAACCCACCGACGTTCCTCAACAAATTTCGACTTTTCTCATTTTTACTTTCCTCATTCCACTGATCACGAGCTTGGATCATCAGATTTTTAATAACGAAGCATCCCAGGCCATGCCCGACGAACAAAATTGGGCAGTTGTATGTCTGCCCAACGTTGGCTCTTGAAAGGAATAGGCTGCCCACCACCTTCTCTGCAACGAGGTACAAGGAGTCCATTCGGCCCTGGGTACTATTTGTAGTCACACAAGCATCATAAGACACCGATAACATACGAGCTCTTGGGAACTTTTTTGCCAACAAATCTTTTGGCCAGCATAAGCCGTTTCCGCTGGTCCATGTCGTTTTGCATGCATCTTTACAGCGTTCAGTATATAGGTCGTGCACAAATATTATCTCCGTCTCGTAAGGTTGTCCTTTTGGTGGTTCATACAGCACAACCAGTGCGTCATTAAGGCGATTGTCGGAACTAGATGCCGTCTCCGTTGCACGTACGTCGGAACCCTGTTCTTCTGTTGGGACGAGAACCTGCGCCTTCGACAAACGTGAGATCATAGCACATTTGAAAAGCATGATGAACAGAGTGAAATATTCATTGTGGCTCTAAAATTGATCCAGCATGAAGAGCCTCGATCTACGCCGCTTGTGGCACAGATTGTGAGAAACGGCCGCAATTGAAATCTGTCTTCAGATGTAAGATCTTGTCGAAAGTTCGTTACAGTTCATATGACAGCAGATGCGTGGAGAAGGATGAAGAATTTACCTCATTCGAAGCGTCGGTGTTCAAACTCTCATCAAGACGACGAATCGGAGATAGCCAGATGGAACCGCTATTCCTTTCCATCGAGACTTCCAGATTAGAACGAGTCTATCCACTGCGATGCCCCTGCTCTCATCTGTACTGCTTCTGGTTTAATCTTCCAGACTTTATAGTGGTCGATCCTCTCATGAGCAGTACATAGTCCCTTTTCAGCATGGGGCTGACATTGTCGTCGATACTTGATGCACTTACGATGAGCTCCACATTGTCCACTTGTTGATCCGTAGAGAACGAAACTAGAGGCGCATCGGAGAAGGCCTGCACCGTCGTCTTGTAATGACGCGTTCTGAGCGGTTGTGTTTCTCTCGATAGTGGAAATGTGGCCCCACAAATCGACCAAGAGTGTCACAAAAGTCGCAGCTGGAGCTAAGAAGTCAAGTATCCGTGGCTCCACGGTGCTCCACTTTCTGGCAGCCGTGTCAGAGCCCAAGCCTTTGTTCGATTATTTCTTCATTAAGGCTGGCCATATGTGGCACTAGGACCACCAGCAGGCAAGTAAGTCGCGACTCAGATGTCTGATGCTCTCACCTCCTGCTAGTTGCGATACTTCCGTGTCCAGTGGGAGTAGCCCTGAATTCTGCAAGAGCTTGCACTTTACACTAAAACTAATCTAATATATATGCGACCTGTGTCCGGAATCTACCGCGCTAGGATAGAGAACTCGTTACAGCAATATCGCAATGAGTCTTGCATTATATACTAGTTATCACCTTTCAAATGGAAAAATCTATCCCTCAAGAGAGAAGGATTATTTTTTTAAACATTCACTAGAAAATTAGTAAAGATTTTAATCAAATCTTGATTGTATGGAAATTTATAGTGATATTAAGATTGATTTTTTCAGATTCAATACAATATCCAAATTGTAAATAACAAGATAATCGTTTGATAAACATTTCCTTTATTACTTTCATACCAATATGAAAGTATCCAAATCACTGAAAGATTCTCCAACATCATTGAAAAAAAATAGCATGACATTTATTTCGAGTTGTGCATGGGAAATTTTTAAATAATATTAAAAATTTCTAATGAAACTGAACGAGGTGATGCATTATATCACTATTTCATCGTAAATCATTTCATTTCCCACCACTATATGACAATAAATACTATTGACATATTTGTTGAATTTTTATTTTTTAAATCTCAGTGATGAAAATTAGAGGAGCAGAGTATTGAAGAATCATTGAATATAAATAGAATATTTTCATTATATGATTGAAGCAAATTTTTTTATTCCAATCAAAAGTCAGAGAAAACAAAGTGATCTTAAAAAAATATAATAAACATAATTAAATGTTTTCGTGATCGTAAGATTAGCAATCAAAGTCTATCACAATAACAACTATATTTTCTTCAAAATATTGCTGTGTTTAAGTTGTTTTAAATTGCAGTTAACATGGAATATTATCACCGACTTTATAGTGTCCAAATCATTTTCTTTAATTTTGTTCAGTTTTCTAAATTGTTCGTACTTTTGTAAACTTGAACTGGAAGCAAGTTCTCCATTCAATCAGTTTTGTTATACGTTATGTTGCATATATGTGTTCAGGTCATCAAGGCTTCCCAGCATTAAAGTCCAAGAGATCGAGTTTGTAAGACCTGGAGAAAGTTTTGAACACGCAACCTTGATAATATGCTCACGAAGTATTTAGATGCCAGCAGCTTATTGATAATTCGAATCTAGAGAACCTCAACGTACTATAGTCATTTGAGACCCTTACAAATGTACATCTTCGGAATGGCATTCTGAGTTTGAAAGTATTTTTGTAGGTGCTTCCTGGATGTTCCCATGGAGCACCGTACGAGCTCGAATTCGATGTTCGTTCACTGTTTCAAAGATGAGACTAATCGACACCTAAATGTCAACTTGGGTCCCACATATACTTTTGCATCGGGAGTTGCTGGGGACTCGTTGTTGGGTACCCTTACGTGTTATCTGCGCCTAGAGTATTTTCAATATTATCTAGATTCCGATTCTGAGTAAGAAAAAAAATCCTACGTTACTATGAGCACGTACGTACAAATCTCCCAAGAGTTTTTAACAGAAACCCTGCTACTCATTCTACAAAACTTTAAGACTGTATATTGTCTTTCTCCTGGAAATGAAATCAAAGTAGAAAATTTTGAAGTGATGGTATTCTGCCCGTAAAGTTGACAGGATGTTCCTATGAGCACGTACGTACAAATCTCTCAAGAGTTTTTAACAGAAACCCTGCTACTCATTCTACAAAACTTTAAGACTGTATATTGTCTTTCTCCTGGAAATGAAATCAAAGTAGAAAATCTTGAAGTGATGGTATTCTGCCCGTAAAGTTGACAGGATGACGAAAAGAGTCAGCAACTACAGTATAAGCATAAAAGAACAAGCACATGAGAATGGGAATGCACCATTGCACACATATTGGCAAAAAATAAGTCTATCTACACACTTCTTCTCTCATACATGTGGTTATAACCTGGTATAATAGGAAATTCTGGAATTCAATTTATTTTAAGATATTCAGAACGTTTGATATAAAATTATTAAACATGAAAAAGTGACTATTGCAAACATGCAGATTTATCTCATTTATAATAATGAATGTTGCTTGAGGTTGTTTATTGTTAAGACATATTGCACACATTTTAATCACTGTGTACTGTACAAGGTTTTGATTTTAGAAAATGAAATAAAAAATACAGTTTTGAAACCCAATGAATGATTTAGTAGATTTCACAATATAATGAACTGTTTGATTTTCTACTTTATACAGCTATTAAATGGGCGTATATCTTAAAAATGATTAAAGCAATAAATGGACCACTATACTTCAAAACCAAGTAAAACCTTCTATCAAAGCAATGTTCATTACAATATAACATGTTGAATAAAAACTTGAGGTTGTATGCTCTGTTGTTGATATCATCTGATCCGAATCAGATGATATCATTTCTTTGATTACTAGCATAAGGAAAGATATATTTCGATGATCGAGATCGACAATGCAACTGCATGACTTTCTGCTTGCAGAATATGGAGCTTATATATTCTTAGCTGAATAGCTGTAACACCGAGACCAATGTTCGTAAAGACGTATAATGTTAGGAAAATTCTAACCACAGTATATCATCTGATCTGAATCAGATGACATAATGTCGTTAGAATTTTCCTCACATTTTAGTACAAGGAGTTGGACCTCAGTACATCCTCCTTTACGTCCATTATAATGAGCTTGCACGTAACATTTTCTTTTTTATGACTATGAATATGATAGAAAGTAGAATAGAGAAGTGGATTAACTAAAGAAAAATAAGGGAGAAAAAAATCTTAATGATTAGCATCGAATCTAAATAATACAAAAACAAACTGCCTATACTAAGAAATATATTTGGTTTTAGTCCCGATCCCTTTTCTGATATAACCTTTGTAAGTACACAGTAGTATCATTCTTCAAGGTCAAACACAAAAACATTTTGGCGAGCAAAATGTTTTGGTATCCTCAAACTTCAGTAATTACCATCTACAGTCAACTACCCTAATATGTACAAACAGAATTGTCTATGATTCCAGTGTTGTTTAAGAGTGTCTTAAGGTTGCCCGAAATATTTGGAAAAATCAATCTCTGTTCAAACTTAAGCATGAATGTATATGCTTCGGTATTCTTGAAATGAGCAATATTTAACAATAAACTTCGTTATGAAAGACAACCTATATAAATTACACCTGCGCAATAAGTATAGTAACTTAAAAGTAGCACAACCCCTCTTATACATATGTACAAAAAATTTCTACTAGCATAACACCTCCATAAAGTACTGAATGTACACCAAGAGGCCACGGAGTGTCACGCGGTTATATACAAGGTATATTTAATCTTTTTCTCCTTGCTGGGGATGGAGCATGAGAATTAAAAGCGGAAAGTCGTTGATCTGAGTATACAGCTGGCCATCGGCAAACACCTCGAAGGGAAACAGAGCATCAGATGAGTTCAACGTTTCAAAAGGAACCGTTGAAGCTGCTGAGGAGACCAAAAACTTGATACTGAAGGAAGCGGAAAGCAATAGCTACTTGTCCACAACAAGAATTGTCAAACAAGAGATATCCATGAAACGAACATAATGTTTTTTTTCGGGATACTTCATTGATGCAACAAATATGTCTACAAAAATACGATTGCAAGAAAATGAATTTTTGAATATGGGTTCAAGGTTAAGGTGTAAGTTTCTCCACATCAACCTTATCTATAAGTTACAAATGGAATCTTGTTTGAAACAAAGAGGATGTACTTAAGACGGAGGTTATACTGTAGGTATTGGTATTGGTATTTATCATCTATGAACCATGATGATGAATTCCCTTCATGGACCAGCATGGCTATTACAAATAGAATATTCTGCCTCCGAAAAATATAAGGCTCATAGTAAACTTTATCAAATCAATGCATTCTAGGTCAAGCTTCTATAATCAATTCTATCACAATTTAAACGCAAATAGGCAAGAAAGTGAAACCTTGAAAATCACATACGCCGAGCTAGAAGGACTCTAAAAGTGGGTGATAACATCACTCTGGAGATGTCATGTTCACTATATGTACATACAAGAGGGGTATATACTACAATCGTTAGACGAATTACAAAAATGGGGAAAAAATATCAAAGTTGATGATCAAATGGTTTAGAGCTTGGGCTGATGTGAAAGGCCTATATTGAACGCATCTCTGGTCTGAGTTGATAAATTACCTAGCTTATAGTAGTCTTATGGTTTCAAAACTTCAAATTATGACAAAAACGTCACTCCTCTCATCTGTTTCAGAAGTGTCTCATTTCGTAAATAAACAAGTCTTACACGAGTATGGTTAGGCCTTGGCAATGTAAAGTAACCTTTCGGGATTACCCAATAATAGTGTAAAAAGTAAGGGTAAAAGTTAGAGGTTCGATTATAGAATAAGGTAAAGATAAGGTAATGGTAGAGCCAAATGGGTTGCCCGGTAATTATCCGGTAACTCTCTAACCCGCGAAAAATGAAAACGTGGACCCACTCAGAATTACTTAGAATGTAATTCTGCACATTCTCCATAAAGATGTGATTTAGAAAATAGCAATGCAGGTTTAAGATGAATTGGTAATTCCGATCAAAATTGCTCTTCTGCATAATCTCGTGAAAACACAAAGTGTAGATAAAAAGCTAAATGTTAAGCTCTTGCACATGACGGCCTCCGACACATATGATCTGTAGAGTTTTCATTCCATCACGGAACTGGATGTAGTACAAGAAGAGAATGAAGTTCTTGATGAGCTTTTTAATGTCAAATTGAATTTTGCACTGTTGTCACTTACTAATTTTTTTCTTTTTTCTTTCAGATTAGTTGTACTAATTTTGAGGGTTCTCCATACAGGGTTTATGGCTGAAGGGGATAGCCGGTCAAAAAGTTTTAAGCCAACTGCAATTTTTATATATTATCTCTAGACAACACATAGGATGTCCGTCTAACAATTTACTAAGCGGTAATTTATCCTATTACCTCTACCTCTTACCTCAAAAAGGTAGATTTGCTGAGTAACCTTGAGGTAAGAGGTAACCGGGTAATTATTCTGAGTTAAAAGGTAAAGACCCATGACTTTCACGAGTAACTTGCCGAGTACTATGTATGGTGGTGACATACTGCTTGGACTTGAAGTTTTGGAACAAGCTCTCCATGTTTACTGGTTAAAAAGCTCATTTTGAGGGTAAGCGCATCCATAGAGATACTCTTGAACTTCCAACCGAGAACTGCTTGGACAAATTCTTCGTACTTCCCTCCTCCGTCTTGAAGCACTCCTCTAACATAATCCAGGAAATACCGACAGCTGTCAACAGGAATATCAAGAAAGTGTCAATCGGTTCGGCTTCTTCGTCACATTGAGCCTTCCAAGCTGGAAATTCCATTCCTGTCACTTGCTTAGCTTCCACCCTGGGCCCTGGGGCTTGGGATTTTTTCATTCTGCATATCTTGTTGCGGTCTATCCAAAATTGCTCCACAATCCGTCCTTGTTGAAGAACCCGCACCTGCTGCGTTAGTATTTGTGAAAATGATATCCGTCGATCTGAGTATCATGATATGCGATTTTTTTTCTCCCTCCGTCGTGACTTCTTGAGAAGAAGAAGAAGTCAAATCTAATGATTCGTTCTACCTGCAATTTGCGATCTTCACGTGAGCTTTGCTCACGTGAAGATCGCAAATTGCAAGACGGGACAAATTGCAATAGCGAGACGAGGTGGACACGTAAGATTTCAAAGTCCAATTTTCACGACGGGTAGTGACTTTCACACAATTCCACCGCAGATGATTCTTCAGTTGAGACGTGACATAATTTTTCAACTCTTGGTCAAGGAAACTAACGAAACAGTGAAAAGGGTTCGGCTATGGTTCCTTTCTCACTTATACTTTTCATACTGAATGTCATGAAGTCACAAAATTAAAACTTTTCATTTTCTTTATGTCACCGGACAAAAGACACGAAAGGAATAAAATTGCCAACCATGCCAACCTTTTTGACCATGAATATGTCACATGTTACAATCTAGAATGCATTTTGATAAATGTACATCCCTCGCCTCTTTGGGCACAGTCAGGGGTCAGTTTTGATGTATATATAGCTTTCCAACGTGCATTGGATGCGCCACAGAGCTCAGCTTGGAGATTTTCAGTAAGAATTCTTGCCTTTTTCCCTAAGGTGGTTTCTTCTCTCTCCTTATCTTAAAAAGCCGAGAGGCTATTGTAATCATGCATTCCCAGTGTCACATTTGATATTTTCTGTCATTGAATGCAAGATTCGCTTTAATAAACATCAAATCGTACATGAAATTTGAAAAAAATTTGTGTTATTAGTCTAGGCTCTATATTGTGCCCTTCTATGACAAAAGGGCAACTCAAGCTCCATCCAGTTTATCGGTGACCAGCTATGCAAACAACAAAACAGTGGCGGATATATCATAAATCTGTGCCAATGAAGCAGCAAGAGAAGACATGGACACGAATAATCAGAGATGCAATCATAATTTGACCACTTTCATTTTTTTCAATGGCACATCGGAATCGAGATGAATCGGGCAGATTTATGTGGGAAGTGAGACTCCAATATCTGAAAATAATGGTAACTTATACTATCGACATTTCAATTCGGATGAGATCGCGTTGGCAGAGAATCACATAGAGAACTTTTCTGACTGCTCCACATTACCAGTATCTGAAAATTCAACCTGCTAAGGAATGACCCTTTGATTAATTTGATTGGTTGTTCGGGTGTCTGAATAACAAGATCCATATCTGAGTCACACTGCACATTGAAATGGTACTGCACCCCGTTGCCTCCATCCCAGGGCCATGACGAGACAAGATGAAGTTAAATGATTGTATAGGAAAGGTTCACGTAGTACATTGAAGAAAAACCTTTGAGTAAATTTCTTTAAGAGAATTTGCACATACGGCTACAACATATTAACACCTAACGTGAGAGTCCAATTAGTGAAGAGAGAGGTCAGTGGACTTTAGCAAATTATTTTTTCCTATATGTCACAACTATCTACAAGTGTATATTTTCATGTATCAGAGAAAACAACAGCTCTGTTATTTTTATTTCGCGTAAAGAGTGATCAGTTCAAATCTTTCTAGCAGATAGGGTCGGGCAGATATGGCTTCAGGAAAATGCTTTGCATGAGCCCCGGTGCTCAGATCTTTCTCCCTGACCAAGGCCTAGGATGTCCTCCAGCTTCCCCTAAGTAAGATTCGGTTAGTCTCGCCACTCGATGCGGTCGTATCAACTGTCGGGAGGGCGATCTGTGCCCCATTGCTTGCGTTGTGAATCAAAAGCTTACCACATTTTGCTGAGGTCTCTTTGGCGTGCCTTATTGTATATGATGAACTTTGGAACACGATCTTCTCCAATTTGTCTTGCTGCTCTAAAATAGCCCCTCTCGGCGATTTCTCCCTCTGAAGGATATCCTGTAGGTCCTTTGCTCGGACGATTTCTCTTGTCAAGCGAAAGCTGACAAGCGAAATCTTCTTAAAGCAAAGGGACTGTCTTAAAGTAGTCCACTGACTAGATTCGGGGTAGTCCTATCTACATTCATGGATTCTGCCATCTGTAGCTGACCGGACTTCCCTGCTGAGTCGTTGGGCCGAGGTCTTCGCGTCCAACTCTAGCTTTGCGAAGTCCGAGGGACAACAGTTAACAGAGCTCGTGCCCTTGCGCCACCTGTGAATGCAGCAACTTTTGACCTTTCCTGTCCCTCTGCGGGGTCAAGGGCCTGATGACTCATCAGGCCCTTGACCAGCCAGGCCAGCCTGATGATTCTCCAGCTTCTCGCTCTGCACCTCCGATCGCGTCCGTGTTCAAGCCTTTTTGCCAGGTGTCTGTCTGTGGGAGACCCGATGATGTCACGAGCTGTGTCATTAATCCCTCTTAAGCTGGACAAGAGTAATGATGAAAACGTTTGTGGGAGGGAATAGTGGCAGTTTGAATAGGACAGGTGGAGAGTCTACATCGTACCTTGATAGAGTCCTCTTATTCAACAAAGAAATATAAATCAGAGCAAGTCCGCGTCATTATGGTATGAATATTATGAAGTATAAAAGATTGGCATGAATTCATTATACTAAAGTCTAAACTCCATCGAGCCATTTTGAATATCTTGTGCTTCAAGTTTGTAAAATGTTTGATAAACTTTCTCGCTTGCCTTCAAAACTATGATTGTATGTAGGGCTAGATTCTATGACCCAAATCCTTTAACTCATCCAAACACATCATGGACAATCCTTTGTTTGTCCAAATTATGTATACACATCAAAACATACATCTATCATGCGATCATACATAACATGCATACAAAACTGCTCACATGAATTTCATCAATCGATATCTACTATGTAAACTTGATGGCGATACCTCTTGTCATGTGGATCAGATGATGTTTACCACGTTTTCTTGATCATGATTGTTGGCCAAGACAATACTATATGATTCAGATGACCTCTGTGTTGTTGTATTCTACCGTATTTACATGAAGGAACAGATTCAAAACAGGACTTTTTGTCTACAGCCCACTCCTCCATGTCAGGGTTAATGTGTTGAGCAAGACAGTGTACAATGAAGAATGTAAAATATATATTATGAGGTAACTTCTCATCTCTTTCTCTCTGGATGTAAGTACACGCCAAAACCAGCTGACATCAATTCCTAGACTCGTAGTCATTATTCGGACATCTTGGACACAATTCTCTAACAGATACTAAAATCGACGGGGAATTGGACTGAAACACTGCTGTACATTCTTCGCCTCCGATACGTAAAAGCGCCTACTGCAGAGGGAATTCTTTACTTCTATATTTCAGATTTATCTAGTCAGACGATTGTTTCCCCATTACTTGTACGTGCTCCGACTTATCAAAACGACCTCTGATCACAGCAATCTATGTTTTCTCCTGAGTGGACGTTAAAATTCTCACCATACCTTTCAAATTCTACACATTTGAATCAGCCGCAGCTGAGAAGTTGTTACATGTAATTACATTTATTATTTTGATCGCCACTCCAAAGCCTGCCAGCCGTTTGGCTTCGATATCCGCAGCTGATGGAGTCCACTGTCCTGTCATGACAGCATGGCACAATGGCTTCGCCCACGGGCGTAAATCAGAACCAGAATCAGAAACATAGAGCTGATTTGAATGAAAGAACGGAATTTTCTGCTAGCTTTTCAGTACAGGACAATAGGCTGTTATCGCCAACATCCTGGCCGCACAGTTTGTAGTTGTAGTTCCTAGTCATCAGCACATGTGTCTCAACCAGCTGTATTTTGGAATTAATGCATGCGACAAGCTAATTCTTCAAATCATTGCAGTCTGATTCGCTTGTGCACTTCACAGCAGGCCATATCTGGATCATTCATAGACAATTGACACCCTACCTCCACATGGTGTTTCCAAATGAATTTAAACATTGACATGCAGATGTTCAAGCTTCAGAAATGATTTCATCAACAAATCTCAAACAATGCGATTTGGTACAACTTCACCAGCATACCTACAATGCCCCTCGACCATGATAGCTTTTTCCCGCATGACGAAGAAAATCAATACTGGGTTCACATTATGTGGCAACTGTACTCCTTGTATAGCAATCCTGTGTCGCCCAAATCAAGGTGTGTCCACGTTGAAATTGGTCACCAGAAGTCGTGGACATTTCTAGTTGTTTCAGATGTATGTCCATCATTGGGACTTGTGACTAATTTCACTATTTCTTTAGTTGAAAAAACATCCGGACATGGATAATATATCTTCAGATGAGGAAACTGCAATATGTTACTAAGGAAACTGAAAACCAGCGCAATCAAATCCATCACGTTAATCACTTACCAAAAGTTCCATGGTCAATATGGGCAAGAAGAGCTGCGATCTCCCTTCTCTGATCATCCGCGGATCCGTCACCACCAATTCCCTGTGGGACAAATTTCATAGCAGCCTCCATGAAAGCTTCCTGAGTGTAGAGAGGGGTTCGGTGAGGAAATAGGTCAATGAACACCTCCCGGGGAAGAAGTGCCTTACAAATATATTCATCTGCTGTCGGTTTAAACCCAGGTATGGAATTGGGACTAGAATTTGCACTCCACTTCAAGATAACATCAACTGAAGCATTGATATTCAGCGTCTGCTGTTGACTGGTGTTTGCAAACACTAAAAAGGTCACCAGTTCCAAACCGGAACAAATCACAGTCGAATCTAGCCGTTGCCTCTTAAATAAAGGTTCCTGATCTTTGTAAACTGCCAGGCTGCATCACAGTAGAGCGAGTTTGTAGATTTCGTCACTACATACGAGGAGACGGTTTAGCAGACTCTAGAATCAGAACACAGTGCGTAGTGACATCGGTATAGAATATAAAAAAGGGTTAACGATTTCCATTTGGAGAAATTAAAGCTGGATCTACTTTTTAGGGAGATGAGTTGACCCAATAACAATTACATTATTTTTTTTAGTTCTACTAAAATCTGTCTGAAAATAATTTAGTTAAATACCAAGCAATTAAGCAAATTGAAATTGTCCCTAGCTTTATGGTCTCTCCATTACGTCCATATGACAATCTGAAGTTTACGCTTTCACCAATAAGAAAGGACCGATATAGAAGCTGAATTTTAGGTTCCTCTCAGAAGATCATCGTAAAGTGAAACAGAGTTTTAAAAAACTACAAACCTGTGCAACCCGATACATCTCATGCGGATTAAAATCACCTCTTTTTAATGCTGTTTGATGTTAATCGCTGACAGTCAGAACCGTCCACAAAATTGCCGAATTTCGCCTCGTCTGCGCACGGCATTCAGCAAGTACAGTCGTACGGTGCATTCAGCACAAACAGCTCGTCATTGATGCGACTGGCGAACATAAATGCCCTCTTAGTTGCACGTACGGTGGAACCCTCTTCTTTTGGAACCTGCGCCTTCAACGAACTTGAATAGTTAAATCAAGATCATAGCATTTCATTGTGGCTCTCGAATTGACTCAGCATCCAGATCCTCGGTCCACTACGCCGCTTGTGGCTCAGAATGTGGAAAGCGGCCGCAACAGGAAATACGTCTTCAGATACAAGCTCTCATCGAAATCTCGTTACAGTTCATATGACATATGCGTGGAGAAGGATGAAGAATTTACCTCACTTGAAGCGTCGGTGTTCAAATTCTCATCTGAATTCCAGACGCCTGTAATCACGCCTCGAAGACGACGAGTCGGAGATAGCCAGATGTAACGGCTGTTCTCTTCCATCGAGCTTTCGCTGATAAACATCATCCTGCTCTCATCAACTCTGCATCGGGTAATATCTTCCAGATTTTATATTGGTCGCTCCGCTCATAAGCAGTACATAGTCCCTTTTGAGCATGGGGCTGACATTGACGTGGATACTAAAGCACGTACTGTGCACTCGACACTGTCCACTTGTACATCCGTAAAGTACTGATCGAGAGGCGCATCATAGAAAGCCTGTGCATAGTCTTGTAAAAACGCGTTCTGAGCGGCTGTGTTTGGCTCGATAGAACGAATCTGGCCCCGCAATTTGACCAAGAGTGTCTCCATAGTCCGAGCCGGATTTAAGACTTATGGCTGTGTCGATCCATGGCTCCGCAGTGCTTGGGTTTCCCGCAGTAGTTTCCGCTACCAGCCTCGCATCTTTGTTCGATTTTTCTTGATTTAGTTGCCTGTATGCGGCACCAGGACCACCAGCAGGCGAGTAAATCGGGACTCACATATCTGATACTCTTAGTAGCGAAACTCTTCGTGTAAAGTGAGAGTAGCGCACAATTCTGCAGGAGATTTATATTTACACTTACTTCAAATGTATCACACTAATTTAACAAATTTTAAACTTGTGTCGGGAATCTACGACGCTAGAAAAGAAAACTCGCATCAACAATATCGCAATGAGCTTTACGTTGTTTACTATGTACTGTTTTCTCATCTTTCAACTAAATTAATCTCACAACAATTGATTTCACAAAAACAACAAAATTCAACAATCTGTTGAAATCTGAAATTTTTAATTATTTTAAATCTGTGAATTGAACGAGGTGATACGAGGAAAGATTTTTGCAAGTTCAATAACATATCAAAATGTTATGTTGTAGTTTCTGTTTATATCAACATCGAGTCAATGAACAAATGGGAATTTTTTGAAATTTTTTTTTTGTAATTTTCTTTGAGTGAAGTTTATTATCAAAGATCTTGATAGATGAGACTTCATGAATGAATAGTTCCGGAAAATTAGTAGAGTTTCAAGCATTTCAACATATAGTTTGATAAAAACATAGTTAGAATATTTGACGCATGGGACTAAACTTTTGATGATACAGTGATATTGTTGGAAGTACGGAATCGAAACAATGAAAATCATCAAAAGCTTCTTCGACTTCATTAATTCCTTCGACAGTTGTTCTTCTTCGTCGACTACAAGGAGCTCACAGATGCACACTCAACCTAGAAGCCTCTTCCCAACTGTTCAGGGTGAATCAGCGTGAGAGAGAACTACGAGTGTAGAAGACAACCCCAGTAGCAAAGCGTGGCAATGCGAACTCTGAGAGCTCACTCCATACAGCCAATACTGCACAATTTCCTGGCCTATCTTCTAACGATCTGTGAATACTGGAATATGTGAAGCCTTGTGCCCTATGGTCAGACTCTTTTGTTCACGTCAAATCGACAATACGCTTATACGATAGATTGGGCATCCAGAGCATGCACGGAAGAAGATGAAAATTGACAGACAAGTTGGAGAAGAAGGAAGGAATATAACCAGCATGGTGAGCGAGGTCGAGAATTGAATCCGACTGAACCCCAGTGCTGAATCTTAACACCCAACTGCACCCAACACACCCTCCCCGGTTCACCCAGATTTCCTCGGTCCAGTACCATCCATCCCCTTTGCTCTTCGCAGCCAAACTTACAAAAAGCTGGCACTCATACACTCATAGTCAGCAGCGAAGCGCAGCACTGGTACAACCGACGTACCTTCGATGTTGCGTGTGAGTTCCTCCCCTACCAGATTCCTCTCATGCGCAATTTCCAAACACAACCCCTTAAATGCACAACAGTCGCACAAAATCTATCTATCTCTCTCTCTCTCTCTCTCGATATATACACACACACAATCAACAACGGAGTGAATCGTGGAGAGCATTACACTACAGCTCCAGGAAGGCACGGGCGGAGAAGAGCAGGGGTGCGGCTAGGTATACAGAGAGGACGACAGTTCGGGTGCCAGGATTGTCATGCACACAGAAAAGGGGGCACCGTCGCGAGGCCAGAGTCGGGCGGACGAGTGGAATGTCAGTGAGGGCCAGGACGCAACGACGTTCTACATGCGTGGCTAGTCTCGACTCCAACTGCGAGCATGGAGTCTACCTTCCCCTGCTCCCGTTCCTCCCTGTCTTCGGCATCCGAGCCTCCCCTTGCCGCCATAGTTCTTACCGCCTTATCTTTAGTAAGAACTAGAAATACCGGCGGGTGCGAATTATGTTCGACTCCCACTCTTCTGGACACTGACACTGGTTGGTAAACAGTTTCAACCTCGTGGGATCCGAAGGCTAAAAAAACCACAAGACAAATCATTTATTGACCACCGAAAAGAAAACCCTAAAGAAACCCGTGGCTAGTGCTAGATTACTAGAACGATAAACAATAACATCCCTAATAAAATAACCTATATCGTAAAGGTCAACCTGTAATAAAAATTCTATATAACAACTTTACGAGACACTCTAATGTATATATCTGGTACATTAACTTCCAGGTTAAGAATGCACCCGTTTATGTATAAGTAATATTTTTTTTCCAAAAACACTCGGATCAATCATTTCGTTTTCAAAAAATTCTATAAACAACTTTATGAGACACTCTAATATATATAGTATATTAACTTCCAGGTTAAAAATGCACCCGTTTATGTATGCATAAGTAATTAGTATTTTTCCAAAAAGACAAGGATCAATCACTTCGTTTTCAAAATTACAAACATTACCTTGCTATGAAACAATTCAAACGACTGTATAAGAACACCAAATTGTTACTTAGACTCTTAAATGAACTTGTGAATAGAGCAACTTTCTAACTACGAATTGCGTGCCCAACTCCGGAGGCTTCTATGTGGGTCCCCTTGCCTTCCCTTTCAGTTCGATTTTCGAATCCCTCCGCACCCTTGCAGATTCTTCGATCAGTGTAGCCATAGCTTTTTCATTATCTGTTATTACACGGCTCGTGTGAGAACTAGAAATCGGGAGAACACAAATGGTCCCTGTGATAATTATACATAGTTTATTATAAATTACAGATAATTTATAGCTTTCCTGCGATTGCGACACGGGAAGGTCGTTGCAGTAAATCCTAATACGGTGGACCCGAGAGTGTTTGTTCCACTGCAGTGAGTTCTCAGGAGTTGAGCATGTCGGTTTCACTCTGCTCGCAACTTCAGCTTTACAGGTAAGTGCGCAAGGGGTTTTAGAGCCCGGACTAGTTCTGGAGATGGGACGCCGGGTGTACATGAATTGGTGCGAGGTTGTTCAAATGCTCTTACACTCTTGGCCGCACTCCCGCTTCACTGACGCGGTCACTAAACTCCAGAAAAGAAAACAGAGCTTAATCTTGTTCTTCGCCTCCAATCCTTTCAGGAAAACGCCATCTCCAGAGAGATTTCTGTACTTCTATATTTTAGATTTATCTGGTCAGACGATTGTTTCCTCATTCCTCGTCCGTGATCAGACTCATCCAAACGGCTTCTGATATCTGCAATCTATGTTTTCTCCTGGGTTGACGGCCAAAAGCTCACAAAACTTTCTATACTTCTCCACACGAGAATTAGCCTCAGCTGACTCTATGTTACATTCAATTCCATTGATTATGTTGATCGTCAATCCAAAACCTGGCAGCCTGTTGGCCTCGATGTCCGAAGATAGTGGAGTCCAGTTTCCAGTCATGACAGAATGGCAGGATGGCTTGTTCCACTGGCGCGTACACCAGAACCAGAGCGCTGATTTGAACGCAATTACGGGATCTTGTGATAGCTTTTCAGGACGAGACAAAAGGCTGTCATCACCTATACCTTCGCCGCACATTTTGTAGTTGTAGTTCCTGATCATCAACACATTTGTCTCAACCCGATCAGAGCCAGCTGCATTTCGGCATCAATGCATGCAACAAGCTAGTTCTTCAAAACATTAAACATTGCACTCTGATTTGCACGTGCGTTTCACAGCAGGCCATATTTGGATTTTTCCTAGACAATTTGACACGCTAGCTTCACCCCACAAATCTCAAACAACATTACCAGCACAGCTGCAATGGCCCTCGACCATGATAGCTTTTTCCTGGATAACAAGGAAAATCTTTACTGGGTAAACAGTATGTGTCTGGCGGGTCACTTTGCTCCTTGTATAGCAGTCCTGTGTCGCCCAAATCAAGGTGTGTCCACATTGAAACTGGTCAGCAGAAGTCGAGGATATCTCTGATGTCTGTTCATCAATGGGACTTGCGACGAGTTTCAATATCTATTCAATTGCAAAAACATCCGAACATGGATAACATTTTTCCAGATGATGAAACTGCAATAAGTTCCTAAGGAAACTGGAAACCAGCCCAATCCAAAGCATCACTTTTATCTCTTACCACTAGTTCCGTGGTCGAAATGGGCAAGAAGAGCTGCGATCTCCCTTGTCTGGTCTTCCACAGATCCGTCGACAAGAAATCCCTTTGGGATAAATGCCATAGCAGCCTCCGTGAAGGCTTCGTAAGTGTAGAAACGGATTCTGCTCGGAAATAGGTCAATGAACACCTTCCGGGGGAGACGAGCCTTCCAAATATTTTCATCTGCTATCGGATTAAACTCAGGTATGGAGTTGGGACAAGATTTATTATCCCTCTTCAGGATATCATCAAGCCATTTCTCAAAGCATTGATATCCAGTGTCTTCTGTTGACTGGTGTTTGCAGACATGAAAATGGTCACCCTTTCCAGAGAAAAACAAATCACTGTCTGGTCTAGCCGTTGCCTCTACAACAAAGGTCTTTGTTCTTTGTAAAGGACCAGGCTGCATCACAATAGAGCGAGTCTTTAGACTTTTAGCTTGCTGCATAAGAGCAGACGGTTAAGCATACTCTAGAATCATAAACCAGTCAGTAAGTAGTGACATCATCAGCAAAAGAATAGAAAAAGGGGTTAAAATCCTCGAATCAAGCACATCAAAATCATCCCTAGCTTTGACGTCTCTCCATAATGTCCACATATCAACCTGCTGTTAGAGAAGCTGCCTTTTCAGCTCCTCTCAGAAAATAAAATAGAGTTGAAAAAAACTGCAAACTTTTGCAACCCGATCCATCTCATACGGATCAATAGCTCATCTTTCACCAAAAACTATGAACGAGATAAAAAATCACCGTTTGATCTGACTCGCAGATTGTCAAAACCTTCCAAAGATCCTGCGATTCTCGCAATTCCTGCATAAATCGTCGAAGTTTGCTGAAACCATCATTGAGTCGACTAAGCTCTGGATGGTATGGTCTCATGCAATCCGTCAGTGGATTACTTTCACCAGACTCATATTCAAACGGATCCCATTTGACTCCGGAATTGAAAGGAGAGTAGAACACAAAGCCACCGACGTTCCTCAACAATATCTTCCTTTTCTCTTTGTTCCCCTTATACCATTCACAAGCTTGGATCATCAGATTCTTAAGAACGAAGCATCCCAGGCCATGCCCGACGAACAAAATTGGGCAGTTGTATGTCTGCCCAACGTTGCATCCTGAATCGAAAATGTTGACCATCACATACTCTGCAATGAGGGTCAAAGAGTCCATACGGCCGTGGGTACTATCTGTAGTCACACAAGCATCATAAGACACTGATAATATACGAGCTCTTGGGAACCTTTTTGCCAAGTTGTCTCTCGGCCAGCATGTGCCATCGTCGTTGGTCCATGTCGTCTTCCAGGCATCTTCAGAGCCTTCAGTATATAGGTCGTGCACAAATATTATCTCCGTGTCGTAAGGTAGTCCATCCGGTGGTTCATACAACACAAACAGTGCGTCATTGAGGCGATTGTCGGAACTAGATGCTGTCTCAGTTGCACGTACGTCGGAACCCTCTTCCTCTGTTGGGTCACGAACTGTTGGGACAGGAACCTGCGCCTTCGACAAACGTGAAGAATCAACTCAAGATCATAGCACATTTTAGAAACATGACGAAATAAGGTTAAATATTCATTGCAGCTCTAGAATTGACCGAGCATGAAGAGGCTCGATCTACTACGCCGCTTGTTGCACAGATTGTGAAAACCGGCCCCAACTGGAATCTGTCTTCAGATGTAAGATCTTGTCGAGAGTTCGTTGCAGTTCATATGACAGCAGATGCGTGGAGAAGGATGAAGAAGTTACCTCATTTGAAGCGTCGGTGTTCAAACTTTCATCTGAACTCCAGATGCATGTAAACACGTCTCGAAGACAACGAATCGGAGATAGCCAGATGGAGCCGCTATTCCTTTCCATCGGGACTTCCAGCTGATAACGAGTCTGGCCACTGCGATGCCCCTGCTCTCATCATCACTGCTTCTGGTGTTAACTTCAAGACTTTATAGTGGTCGCTCGTCTCAAGAGCAGTACATAGTCCCTTTACAGCATTAGGCTGACATTGTCGTCGATACTAAATGCACGTACGGTGAGCTCGACATATTCCGTTCGTACATCCATAGAGTACGGAACGAGAGGCGCATCTCAGAAGGCCTGCGCCGACGTCTTGTAATGACGCGTTCGGAACGGCTGTGTTTTGCTCGAAAATGCAAATGTGGCCCCACCAATCGAACAGGAGTGTCTCAAAAGTCCAAGCTCAATGCGGTCGTATCAACTGGCCGGAGAGCGCTTTGTGCCCCATTGCTTGCGTTGTGAATCAAAAGCTTACCACCCTTTGCTGAGGTCTCTGTAGCGTGCCTAATTGTATATGATGGACTTTGGAACACGATCTTCTCAAATTTGTCTCGCTGCTCTAAATAGCCCCTCTCTGTGAATGCAGCAACTTTTGACCTTTCCTGTCCCTCTGCAGGATCATGGGTCGTCAGGCCCACGACCAGCCAGGCAAGCCTGATGATTCTCCAGCTTCTCGCACTGCACTTCTGATCGCGTTTGTGTTCAAGCCTATTTGCCTGTGTGTACGCCAGGGAAAAACTGAGGATGTCACGAGATGTGTAAAAAGTCCCTCCTAAGCTGGACTACTGATGGAATCGTTTGTATGAGGAATAGTGGCCGTGTGAGTAGAAGAGGTGGGGAGTCTACATCGTAACGTGATACAGTGTTTCTATTTGACACAAATCAGAGCAATTAAGTATTAAAGAATCATAAGAATCTTCATCATAAGAATATGAGTTCAATATCCTAGAGTATAAACTCCATGTTGACTATCTTGTGCTTCCAGTTAGTAAAATGTTTTATAAGTTTTCTCGCCAGATTTATAAACTATCATTGTATCTAGGGCTTGTGTTTCTATGACCCGAATCATTTCGAAATCATTTTACTCATCCAACAATCGTCATGGACAATCCTTCGTCTATCATAATTTTGTATACACATCGAAACATACATCTATCATGCGAGCATACATAACATGAATAGAAAACTGCTCACATGAATCTCATTTGTCGATATCTACTATGTAAACTTGATGGCGATACCTCTTGTCATCTGGATCACCAGATGTTCACGACGTTATCTTGATGATGATTGCTGGTCAGGACAATCTTATATGTTTCAGATGACCACTGTGTTGCTGTATTCTAGCATGTTTACATGAAGGAATAATTTTAAAACAGGACTTCTTGCCTACAGCAAGAAGTCTACAGCCCAATGCTCCATGTCAGGGTTAATGTGTTGAGCAAGACAGTGTACAATGATGAATGTCAAATACATTTTTATGGAGTAACTTCTCATCTTTTTTTCTATGGGAAAAACAAATTCGTCCACGAAATACATTTACATGCCAAAAGCAGCTGACATCAATTACTAGACTCGTAGTCGTTCTTCGGACATCTTTGACACAATTCTCTAACAGCTTCTAAAATCGACTGGGGGTTGGAAACACTGCTGTACATCCTTCGCCTCCGATCCTTTCCGGAAAGCGCCATCTACAGAGACATTTCTATACTTCTATATTTCAGATATATCTAGTCAGACGATTATTTCCTCATCCCTTGTATGTGCTCCGACTGATCAATAAGAACTCTGATCACAGCAATCTATGTTTTATCCTGGGCCGACGTCAAAAACGTCTTTCACAATACCGTTTTTACTTCTGCATATGCGAATTAGCCGCAGCTGAGAATCTGTTACATTCGTATTCATCGATTATATTGATCGTCAATCCAAAGCCTGGCAACCGTTTGGCTTCGATGTCCGCAGCTGATGGGGTGCACTGTCCACTCATGACAGCATGGCACGATGGCGTCGCCCACTGGGGCGTACACCAGAACCATAGCGCTGATTGAATGAAAGAACGGAATTTTCTGATAGCTTTTCAGTACAAGACAATAGCCTGTTATCACCTACATCCTGGCCGCACAGTTTGTAGTCGTAGTTTCTGGTCATCAGCACATGTGTCTCAACCTGCTGTATTTTGGCATTTATGCATGCGACAAGCTAATTCTTCAAATCATTACAGTCTGATTAGCATGTGCACTTCGCAGCAGGCCATACCTGGATCATTCATAGACTATTCACACCCTAGCTCCACATGGTGTTGCCAAATGAATATAAACATTTACATTCAGATGTTAGAGCTTCAGAAATGAGTTGATCCTATAAGTCTTAAACAACTCGATTTGGTACAACTCCACCAGCATACCTGCAATGCGCTGCGACCATGATCACTTTTTCCTGGATAACAAGGAAACTCGATACTGGGTTCACATTATGTGCTTGACGGAGGGGTGTGCTCCTTGCATAGCAATCCTGTGTCGCCCAAATCAAGGTGTGTCCACGTTGAAACTGGTCACCAGAAGTCGTGGACATTTCTGGTTGTTTCAGATGTATGTCCATCATTGGGACTTGTGACTAATGTCATTATTTCTTCAGTTGAGAAAACATCAGAACATGGATTACAAATTTTCAGATGAGGAGACTGCAACATGTTAGTAAGGAAACTGAAAACCAGCGCAATCCAATCCATCACTTTAATCACTTACCAGAAGTTCCATGGTCAATATGGGCAAGAAGAGCTGCGATCTCCTTTCTCTGATCATCCGCAGATTCGTCGACACCAGATCCGTTTGGGAGAAATTTCATAGTAGCCTCCATGAAAGCTTTGTAAGTGTAGAAAGGGAAAAGAACAGATCCTGGAGAAAATAGGTCAATGAAAATAAGAAAATAGGTCAATGAATAGCTCCTGGAGAAGAAGTGCCTTCCAAATATACTCATCTGCTGTCGGAATAAACTCAGGTATCGAATTGGGACTAGAATTTGCACCACTCTTCAAGATAACATCAAGCCCTTTCTCGAAGCATTGATATTCAGCGTCTGCTGTTGACTGGTATTTGCAGACATTAAAATGGTCACCAGTTCCAAACCGGAACAGTTCACAGTCGAGTCTAGCCGTTGCCTCTGAAACAAAGGTTTCTGATGTTTGTAAACCGCCAGGCTGCATCACAGTAGAGCCAATCTGTAGAATTTGTCACTACGTACGAGGAGACGGTTTAGCAGACTCTAGAATCAGAACACAGTACGTAGTGATATCTGTATAGAATATAAAAAAGGCCTAATTTTTTACAATCAAGAAATTGAATTCACCCCTAGCTTTATGTTCTCTCCATCATGTCCATATGACAATCT